TGCTGAAGACCTGGGGGGTAAGGGGGAAGGATTACATGGAGGGGATTGTAACCATGGCAATGAGACAATACACGATAGAATGAATGTAAAACTAATGTTCTCCCATGTAAACTATTACATAATTCACAATAAAACATTTAGGAAAACAACAACAACAACAACAAATGAGAAGCCATGGATCTTGACATTACGGATTAGTGTGCCTTTACATCACCAGTATTTAACTTACAATATTAATATTTTATTCGATCTGTATTGCACTCTTGAGCCATGGAAACAGTCAGAATCATTTTCAGCCTGGTTTCCCCATAATTCTCTTTCAGTATGTTTCACAAATTAACAGTTTTTCCTTCTTCAAGGAATTTCTGGGGAAAATTTTAAAAGCACACAACAACAACAACAACTGTGTTTTTGATGTGGAAGACATGACATTTTAACTAGCATTCTATTTCAACATTAAGTTCTGTTTTAGGAACACTGACACCAATGCATATAGGGAAAGTATGGTGTGTCTGAATAAAGTACTACATGCTCCTGTCATTGTGGGTTAATGCACTGGATGCAAAGTCAGTTTGAACCACAAGATAGGCAGTTCAAGGTCACCAGTTCAACCTCAGCAGTTGCTCCTTGGAAACCCGATACAGGATCTATATGAGTCGGAACTGACTCTTAACAACAGCACTTAACAACAACAACCTGTCTAAACGCTTCATCCAGCAGTCCACTGTGCTATTTGATAGGAGGAAGTTTTACAGCAAGATGGTTTATGTGTATGTTATAAATGAAGTGAACCCTTTGATGAGGTCCCCCCTGTTTATGCAAGACCTGTGTTCGGAGAAGAGTCAAAAGATTAGGCTCAACCAATCACCATCTTCTACAAGGCTGGGACCAAGCGCTTCTTGAAGAGAACGAGGGGTCCCTCAACATTATTTCTTCCATTTGGGGTGAAAAGACTAATAAAGGTTTCAGAACAAATAAGTCTTTGAGTATTTCTCTTCAAAGCACAACTCTGCCATGTCTGACAGCATCCTTACAGGACTGTTTTGGAGTCCCTGGGTGATGCAAATGGTTAAGCTACTAAGTGAAAGGTTGGTGGTTGGAATTCACCTAGAAGCCCCTTGGAAAAACGGCTTGGTGGTCTTTTCTTTAAAAATCACCCATTAAATGTAAAGCTAATGTTCTCCCATGTAAACTATCACATAATTCACAATAAAACATTTTTAAAAGATCAACCATTAAAAATCCTAGGGAGCAAGCACAGTTCTACCTTGAAACACATGGGTCACCATGAGTCAAAACAGACTGAATGGCAGCTAGCTTTGATTTTCAAACTTGTAACCGAGAATTCAGATATGACATGTTTACCTTGTCCCTTATTTGATTTTTGTCATTTTAATGGACAGTTGTCTATGATTCCAATTCAAGAAGACAGCGTTTTTGTTGTTGTTAAGTGCTGTCAAGTCGGTTCCAACACAAAGTAACCCTGTATAGGGTTTCCGAGGAGCAGCTGGTGGGTCTGAACTGCTGACCTGCGGTTAGCAGTCCAGTGCATACCTGACAGTGCTACACCAGGAAGACAGTCAAAGAGAAAAATGATGACCAAGGTTTTCTGAGACGGCTTTTAAAACGGTTTCTAGAATTCATTCTATCAGTTTCTTTATGAAAAGTAGTTCTTATATAAATGTAGTTTCTCTCAAAACCACTGTTTTGATTTAAAGCCACAAAATAATAACCTCCCGGGGTTCTCATTTATTTTTAAACTCTCACCGATTTTTTTCTCTTATTAGTTCTTATGTTTACTACCAATAATAAGATATCCTGAGTTAAGGAAAGATATAGGAGAACACATGAAATGAATATAATAGAATTGGTTCAGAATATTATTAAGTTTGATGGTAGCAAGTTGTCCCATAGTTTATAAATCTTCCTAACAACTACACAGAAACTTGCTCTCCAACGTAGAGAAGCCAAAGCAAGTGGAAAAATTGAAGAGGTGCAAGAGCTGAACAGGAAATTTCAAAGATCAGCTCGAGAAGATAAAGCCAAATACTATAATAAAATATGCAAAGAT